CCCCAAAACCCCAAAACCCCAAAACCCCACCATTATGATTTGTATTTCATATATTGAATCATTCAAATATTCATTAGAATTATGTCTGTATTTATGAAGTACTTATATAGTCATAATAGCATCCATTCTATGAATTTATCACATTATAAAACATTCTAAATCATCATTATAATTTCTCAAAGACTTTCATCACTTCCTGTATTTGTGTGCCTGAATAGTCTCTTTCAGCTCCTCAAGCTGCATTTTATATCTCTGGTTTCTTCGTTCCATTAACTCCTCTTCATCCTGATAAGGATCATCATCATATTCATCCTCGTCTTGCCCGTACTGCATGCCTTAGCTACCGTCAATATTAGGTATTTGCTCAAACTCTTCTTATTCATATTCTTCTTCATCCCCTTCTTCCATCTAAATCACTCCTGGATGTGCTACATTTGGTCCTCCACGAGCCTGTCCTGGGTTTTATTGCTATTCAGCTGGTGGATTGTCCTCCTTTAGGAATATTTTATTTTTCAGAATTATTTTTTCACTAAAAGACTTAATAAAGGCTGCTGCTCTAGCTCGCTATTACTATTACTGTTTGCGCTTCTTGTATTCTTTTTCCTCATCAGGAGTGGCTTCTCTATCATCATCTGTGAAATAGATCTCTTCGGTGAACTTAATACCAAAGGAGCATTTTTTTATCCAAGGAGCTTCAGGTTTTAGAGGTATAGCTTTTGCTGTGAATTGCTCAAGCACTGAGTTGTCGACACATGGTATCATGTTAGGTGGCTTGATAAAGGGGAAACTGAAAGAAGGCTTCATGTAAAGGCACCCATTAAAGCCAGGGAATTAGAACTTCATGTATGAGAAGAAATTGCAAAGCCTAGATTACTGTGGGAAAACATTGAGCTGCACATTTTGCTTTTGGTCTATAAACTTAACTGTATTTTCTTTGTCATATTTATAAGCTTTCTTTAAGTCCTTTTTAGCCAGATGACTATGCCCAAGTATTTGATTCACTATATGTCTAATCAGCCAAAGCTATTAGGCATACTTCTTAGGAATAGTATCTAGGATATAGTCTATCTTAGTTGTAGCTTTTTTGTATTCTTTTAATTGTAGCAAATTCAGGACAGTGTTAAATGAGTACTCATGGATATTTAGGGAGCATAGACCGACATCGGAGAGATCTGTTTAACTGCTACCATTTGAAGCATTATCATCTGCTTTCTCATTTCCTGAGTCATCATCTGGGAACTAGTTTCTAGGGTATAGAACTTTATTTGAGTGCATGATGGAAGAGCTTTGCTCGAAGTCTTGAATTGACTTTTCATATTCTCCACTGTAAAAGAACATTACTGCTCTATAGAGATAATAGTCCTCTTTATTAAAAATGTTCTCTTTATAGTAGTTAGTCTCCTCCTCTTTTTCATCCTCCATTGTTTTGGTGTCCGTAAAGTTAGACATCTCATCAAGTTCTTTTCTCTTGTTAATCTTTTCAAGCTCCTTTTCATCAATTTCACTTATGTCATCATACTCATCTCCGTTTTCATCATCGTCTCCTTAATTTGCAACTCTGAATCTTAGGTCATTTTTCCTCAGACTATTATCCCCACCCTGGCTTATCTACTTATTCACAGCCCTATCTTGCTCTCTTCTTCTTCGGATGGCCCTGATTTTATCTGTCTTAGTTCTTTATGCACTTGGGATTATCTATGAATGATGATGCATAATACTTGAATCATGATTTATTCTCGCTAAATGCTCGTTTTTCTCATATGAGATTAGTTTAGTTAGCATATTCGCTGATTTTTCATAGAGAGTCTTTTCATGAATCTATTAATTAGTTTGCTGAGGAGTAGTAGCTGCCTGCTTGAGTGCAGTAAGACACTCCTTATCTGCAATTGCCACCTTGTCATTTGGAGAAATTTCAATAACTTTATTTAAGTCCTTTAAAGCCTCATTCATATTATTTAAAGCGACATGACACCTTGATCTTTAATAAAGGGCCAGTGGTGATTTGTGTATGTTATCTGCATTTGTAAAGGCTTTAGTTGCATCTTCATATGAGCCAGTCGTCATCAGCAGATTACCTGCGTATATATGAACCATCGGATTTTTCTATAAAGGTTAATGAGAAATGTAAAGTGGTAATACCGGCTCTAGGACAATTAGTTTCTGAAAATCCATAAATGCAAGACCTGTGTCGCCTATTAAATATGCACATTTGCCTCTGTTAAGATAAGCCTAGACAATTAATTATATATATTGAGTTTTACATCCAAAAGGTCTTTATTAAGGTTTATGGCTATGGACAAATCAGTGATTGCCTCTTTGAACATACTTAAACATGCGTAACATCGACCACGAGCGAGGTAAAATTTAGCACTAGTTTCTTCTGATTTCTCAATAACTGTTTCAAAATCAGTAATGGCATCGAAAAAATAGTGTAATGCGAAGTTCAAAACACCTCTGAAATACATCACCTAGTAATCCTTTGGTGAATGCTTTAGGGCTCTATTTAAATCCCTCTTAGCATCCCTAAGCATCTTATTTTTAGTTTGAGGTTTGATTGGCTTGTGAAGAGCATACTAAACGATACTTACAGCTCTTAAAAAATAAGGGTCTCTATTTCCTGGGATTTTTTGACTTGCTTTAGTGAAAAAGGAAATTGCATTTTCATATTCTTTTTTCTCTAAACTTTTCAAACCTTAGCACATTATCATGTTGTAGTATGCAGAGTTGTTTAGCTTTTTCAACTAATTTGACTTGATATAGTCTTTCAAACTCTTGTCATACTCATCTGTGATAAAATACCCGTAAGCTCTGTAAATATAGATGAGTGGTGTTATGTAATCTGTTTGTGTTTGCTAAGAAGATTATGCTAGTTTATCTAACAACCCTGATAATAATTTCAACCCTGTTTTGGTCTTCCTTTTCATAAGAAATATAACACCCTCTGTAAAAATCTTGTAATTAATGAGCTTTTTCTGCTTGAGTTTATAATGTGTTGCTCTTTATAGATTATAATAGGCCTCATAAAAGTCTTTTTGCTAGATTTTGATTTTTGCAATTTCATATAGTGCTGAACTTTGCAGGAATGTGTCATCAGAAAGTCTAATAACCTATTCAAAGTGTAAAATTGCATCATTGTGATTTTCCATCTTTTTCAAAGTCTTAGCCTTATAGAAATATGATTTACTAATAGCTTGAGGCTATTGAGGGTTTTGTTGCTCTGCTAGGTCACAAAGCTTGTTGAAATCTTCTAGAGCTTTTTCAGAATACTTCATTTGCAGATAGAGTATACCTCTCTTCATAAGACCCTGTGACATACATTATGGGTCTACTTCAATCGCTTTTGAATAAGAAATAAGAGCCCCATTGTAATTACCAATGCCTTTTAAACTATCTCCTTAACCTAAAAATCCTAGTCCATTATCTTCTTGGAGAGAAATAACGTTTCTAAAATCAGTCAAGGCTTTATCCCATTTCTTTTAAAAGATGTAAATTTATCCTCTAGCTATATATGCTTCAATGTATCTAGGGTATTTAACAATAGCTTTAGATAAAGTTCTTAATGCTCCAGTATAGTCATTTGTTCTTCTATAGGCGATTGAAAGTACAATAAACATTGTCTTTCTATAATCAGGGCAAGTATCAATAAGCTCATTTAAATCTTATATTGCTTTAGCAGGCTAACCTTGATCTAGCTATGTGACTCCCCTGTAAAATATTGCATCAAAATTTGACTTATTTAAGCTTAAACTCTTAGTAAAGGCTTTGACTGCTTCTTTGTATTTCTTATCACTAAGGAATATCTTACCTTGTTCAAAGTATTCCTCGCTCTCAAGTAATTATGATTCAGTAATGTTACTTAAGGTTTGATTGACAGCTTTATTATTCTACTGAAGAGTTTGACTTTAATTATAGGTGATTCCACTTCTCTTTGAAGATATTTAAAAGTCTCTCTTACTGCAATTAGAGAAACTTCTGATATGTGATATAGTATTATTCAAATTTTTAAGTTTAGCAGCAGATATTCTTGATGATGACTGCGAAACTCCACTTTATTTGTAATTCATAAAGGGGTTAAAAGCATATTGATTGATGCCTGTATTAGTGCTACCATATTTCTAAGCAGAATTCTGATTGTTTTGAGTAAGATTGAAATTGCTAATGGATTTAGGGGAATATCCTCGAGGATAATTCATTATCTGATTTTGATGCTTTTATGAGGACGAAACTTACTAGGAGAAGTAGTTGTTCAAAATGTCACTTTCATTCTACTAGCCTGCTGTGATTGTTGAGTAATTGAGTGGAGTCATCTAGGCAATTCCATATTGGGGAATGTTGTTATTTTGATTGTTGTACTGTAGAGTTTGGTTCATAATCCTTTAATTTAATTGAAGAGGCTGATTTAAATACTGCTCAGTAGTTCCGATTTTTTGCTAAGAAGTTGTAAGCATTGGAATGTTGTGTCCATTAGGTCCAATGCCTCCTGCTCTCGTACTCTAGGCCATGCTGTATGCTTTGACATGCTTGCCTCTCCTTTGATTATTTTAATTTAACGTTGTGGGTGTTTATATTGTTGGAGGCTGAAAATTGTGATAATGATTTTGATTGATGTATGAATTGGCATCTTCAAGAGAGGATGATTGTTACAAGTAATGATTTGCTGCGAGTAAAGCTTGTATCTGTTGCTGCTAATGAGTGGTGGTATTGTTTAAACTCATGAATTACTCGGTATTCCCAAGACTACTAGGGTCTAATTAGTATCCTTGAGCATTGGCAAACTGAAATTACTTATTTAAGGTCACTGATCTATTGTTTGAAGTCGAGCTAGGTTGTGAATTTTGAGATCTATTCACGTTTTTGCGAGCCTAATTGGCATTGTAGGCGTTTTGAGACCTAGCTCTGAGTTGATTGGAGTATTGAGTGGGCGGCTTTTAATGTCTGGTGGTGCTTGAATTGGAAGGCATCTGTCTAATTTCGTAGGCCTAAACATGCTGTGCTTGATTTTACGAAGATTGTTTTATCATATTGATGTTTATAATTCAAATTCAATAATTTTATTTATTCAATTTAAATTGATCTCTATCTGTCGGGGTTTTGGGGTTTTGGGGTTTTGGGG